TCATCTAAGTGGTCTTCTACAGGGAATAACTGGGACAAAGCTCTGGTCCACATCAAAAATATATGAAGAAAAACAGGGCGAAAGAGTGATGAGAGTAGATGAAGTGAGAGAGAGGGTAATAGAAAATAAAATTGGAAAATGGGGAGCTTGGAGACCAGTATACTGACCCAACTTTTACTTTGGATGTGGAGACACTAAAGGGCTTGAGTAATAAATGTCATGATTATATTAGACTATTTTTTTCTAGGTATCCTTCTGTCATACATATTGAGAACAGACTATAAGGAACAAATTAAAGGCATCAGTTAAGAGTCTCTTGAGTTAGTCCAAGCAAAAGATGATGATGGTTTGGACCAAGATAAAAACAGTGGAACTGGGGAAAAGACATTACAGTTGGATATATCTTGCAGGTAGAGCTGGCAGGATTTGCCCCCAAATTATATAAATTATATAGTTATATTACAAAAGGAAAATAGTGATAAAGGATAGATACAAGATTTTTTTGGGCCAGAATAACTGAATGTGCAGAAATGCCTAAATCCAGAGTTAGTTTTGTTAAGTTTGAAATCAAGTTGACAATTGGACATGAAAGGCTTGAATTCAGGGAAAGAAACTAAAGATATAAATTTTAGATTCATCAGTACATGACCAGCACTGACAAGCCTGACAAGATAAGTTCACTAAGGCAATGGGAATAAATAAAAAGGACTGGGCATACCTGTGAGACATTCCAAAATTAAGGAAAATGAAAGTGAGTCAGCAAAGAATACAAAAAGTAGTCATTTGAGAAGAAAAAATACAAAAGAGGATATAATGCTGGGAACCAAATGAAGAACATTTATCAAGGAGGAGGAAATGATCAACTGTGTCAAAGTACTTCTGAGGTCATGCAAGATGAGGACCGAGAACCAACTAATGAATTTAGCAGTATGCAAATCATTTGTAACTGTGACAAGAACAGTTGCTGTAGGGTGAGTATGTGTAGAAGCCTTATGAAATAGGCCAATAAAGAATGCAAGGGGGCAGTGAAAGACAATGAATATAGACAGCTCTATAGAAGATTTCGGTGATAACAGAATAGAAATTGCAGCTGTAATTGGAAAGAGAGGTCAAGAAAAATATATTTTAAAGACAAAAAGCAGTGTGTGTTAATGCAGAGCTAGAAGGGAAAGGAAAAACTGATACTACAGGAGAGAGAAAATAGGATTGCAGGAGCCATGTCCTTGCGTAGGCATAGAAGGTTAATATGCAGCACACAAGTGGAGCAGTTGGCCTTAGAGAGGAGCAGAGAGTTCAGCCAAGGTAAAAAGAAGGGAAAATAGAGTATGTGAGCATACATGCATGTGATGATTAGATGAAGAGTTTTTAATATTTTCTATTTTCTTAATAAAGTAAGAAACAATGTTTGTGTGAGAAGAAAAAAAGAAGTTTTAGAATACTGACGATAGAGCCAGGTGTGGTGACTCACTCCTGTAATCTCAGCACTCCAGAGGCTGAGGCAGGAGAATCTTTATGAGTTCAAGGTTGACCCTGCCTACATGGTGAGTTCAAGGCCAATTTAAACTGCACAGCAAGACCCTGTCTCAGTAATAATAATATGGAGATGAGAAGAAAGTGTGAAATGGTGGGGAAAAAATGCTTGTTTAGGAAACTAGATGAGTAATTGCTCAGGAGCACTATGGGCTATTTGAAGTCAGAGACAGTTAACAGCACGATAGAGTTGGTGCCATCATGTGTTCTCAGCCATATTTACCATGCAAAGTAGGACCAGAGTGGCATACAGTTAGATTCAAACAAGACCACGCTTTTATCAGTAAGACCTCTAAAATTAGAGGGAAGAGGAGAGCTGATGTTCCATGCAAGGGTTATCACAATTGACCATGAAAAATATAAGCACTGCACAGAGAACAATAAAGACCTCGAAAAGAGGGAGGATGAAGATCAGTGGAGAGGAGGCATGGCTGGTGGCTTGTGGGTTAGGTAGAATCAAGGGATCATTAAATGTGGTGATCCCAAAGATAGGGAATTAAACAAATAGGACTTTGAATTTTTTTTCTTTAACCACTTTCCCCTATCTGTAGGCACCCTGCAATTTTGCAAAAGTTCTATCTCTCTGTTTCCTATTATCTATCTTTTATTTTGCTCTTTAATTTTTATATACCTTGGGTTTCTCATATAAGAGAAACCATGAGATATTTAAGCTTATGCATCTGATTTATTTTACTTAACATTATGATCTTGAGGTATGGCAGGGCCCTTCCCTGGAGGATTGTGGACAGGCCCTCCTGAAGGAATTTGGTGGAGGGGGTGTCCTTCTCCGAAGCGAGAAAGGCAACATGTCACAATTAGCTCCTAGATACACATGTGTAGCTCCAGTACAGCTCTGTGACACAGATTGTATCCAATCAGGCTGTAGTGTGAGAGACAAAGACACAAAAATTATATAAAAGGCAAAACTCTGCCATGATTGGGGCTCAGCCTTTTGGGTTTCAACCTGCTGAAATTTAGCTATTATGAGTTGTGTGTTACACACATAGTAATGCATGTACCACCGTAGTATGATGTCTAACTCTTTGGGAAGGTATCTAAGAGGGGAATAGCTGGGTCAAATGGAACTTCTAGTTTTAGTTTTTATGTCTCATCTACTTCTAACTAACATGAGGAGTACGTCTTGGAAGGCTCACTGAGCTCATGGTTGACCCAATAAAACACAATCATCACATTTCTCCAGAGGAGTTCACTATACATGTCTGTTTCTCACTGGCGTATATGGGTTCTGTCAGTCCCCTTCAGCCATCTACAGATACCAGAAAGGTTACTGCCTTCAAGCCTAAGTGTCTAATGCAAAAGTAAAATGCAAATGACCTCTTTTCAGTGTTCTAGTGATTCCTCTTAGATGGCAGGCTGGTTAAAAGAGGCCAGGGGAAAGACTGTCTCTAAACGAAGTAGTACTTTCTGTTCGAGACTGCTAAAGCCAGACATGTGCAGGCTCCAGTCAGTACAGCCCATGTTGTATGATCTATGTTCCTAGCATGGGGACCTAAGAACTAGGTAGAGCCTTTTACACTTCCTGTGTCCACCTGTCTGGTTAGCGCTAAAGATGATAGTTTCTACCAAGAGTTGAGTCTTCTCTAGTCAACAGGACCTGTTTTATTAGGAACAAGCAAAAAAGATTACTCCTTCAAAGCAGGGCTACAAAGTTTATTTTGTGGGGGCTGGAGATCCAAAGAATATGAGTTACGATAAAGGCACTTCCAGAGTTGAATGGGTTAATGTGTTGAGTTGACCCACCTTGTCCATTTTGCTGAGCCCAATATATGTTATGTTTCTCACATCTAGTTCATCAGGCCTCTATAGAATGTTTTAGCCAGGACAAGCTCTGATCAAGTTTTACTAGTTCTGTTGTTATGGAAATTCTAAGAGTGTACCCCTTGCCTCCCTCAGTCCAACACCACTCAGAGACCACATTTGCCTTGTTTACTACTAACATTTTTGATTGTCTGATACACAGCAGTTCCACTCTAATGAACAAATAAATGGTGGACAGGTGAGTGTTAGAGATGAGGAGGCACAGAACACAGTTCTTCATGTCACTATCCAGCTGTGCACTAGGTGCTAAAACCAAGAACATTTCAAGTATCCTACCTGAACTTTTCTCTATGACAACCTGCCTTGGCTGAGTAGTGATTATTCTACTTATAATTTCTAAAACCCCTTTCTTTTATTATAAATCACATACAAAAATGAAGATAGTCAATCTTGTCAGAAAATACTTTCTTGATTCTTTTCCTTCTCCCAGTCAATAAGCATTTACTTATATCTTTCGGTAACACAAAGTGACATTTTGACGCAGCAGTCCTGGAAGGAGACAAGAACCATTAATACAGAAATATGGCTGAGCTTCTGTAGCTTGCCAGGATCTCATCCACTGCTGAGGAATCCAGGTCCTGGAAAAACATAACGGCACTTCTTTTTGCCAACTACTATTTTTGAGTCCAGGGTCTGCTGACATTGATTAAAACTGAAAGTGAACTTGGCTCTTCTGTAGTTCCAGAATAGACTTGTTTCAACCAAGAAACCAACAAGGAAGCCCCTAGGGGGAAATATTTTAGAGGAGTAATAGTATAATGATGACAGGAAACATTCTTCTGTTCAACACACTAGGTCATTATTTGAAATTTAGGCAGCCTGTCTTGGAAGAGAGAAAAGTTGGCATATCAATAGAAAAGAAAGTAAACTTCTCAAAGATACTCATAAAGATATGCTTGGGGAAGAAAGTAAAATCCAGGAGCAACTCATTTTAAAAAATTTAACAACAAAAAGTCAAGACCAAAAAAAATGTTTATTCAACAGATGGTAATTTAAGAAGCCACAATTTGCCATACGTGGATTTGTAGTAAGAAAGAATACTGTTATATGTAAATTACATTTGATTTTTATATTTATATTTTACAAGCCAATTTTCCAATGCATTTTTTAAAAAAGTATACCTATGTAAGTGTTTTTAAGTGTTACCTTTGAGTCATAAGTTTCTAGTAAAGTTTTGCTTTCCAGTCAAACCATCACTATTATATAAAAGTCCATCTACTTATTCCTACCTTACAACTGGTTCAGAATTGAGCATGGAGAAAGCATTAGGATGGTCTGTGGACAGGCACTAAAATCACTTAAAAAGAAGACTTAAAAAACAGATTCCTTGGCCCTCTCTACCCCCAGGAATTCTGATATCTAGGCATCTACAAATCTGGCATGCACCCAAGATGACTCTGATGCACATGGCCCATGGACCACACCCTGACAAATGCTAGCTTAGGGATGATGTATTCTAAGCAGTGTGTCAAGAGAAACAGCCCTACCTTCTAGATCCAGCACATCCCCTTGTTTCCAAGGCTCCATAATCTCACACTTGGTGGACTAGTTGCTGATCAAAACCGCTGTGCTAGCAAGCCAATCTTCAGGGCTTGGTGCAACACAACCCTGATTTCTTTTTATTCTGTTAGAATGATTACAGGAAATTATCTATGCAATGCAAGGATTTTGTGGTGGGCGTTCTGGACCTGTGCCGAGACACAGAAGAAGTAGAAGCAATTTTAAATGGTGATGTGAACTTCCAAGTCTGGTCCGATCACCACCGTCCGAGTCTGAGCCGGATCAAACTCGCCATTAAATACGAAGTCAAGAAGGTAAGCCTTCCCAGTTTTCCTGGCCTTCCTGCCTCACCTCACAGGGCTGCTGGTCCATAAATATTTCAGAGTCCCACAAGGTGACTGTGTTGACACCCAAGTTCTCTCTAGACAAAGAACTAAGTACTAGTCTTTTAGGGCTGCTCAAATCTCACCACCCCTTCCCATCTCAACCCCCAAACCCCCAGGAAAGAGAGAAGAGTAACGAGTTGGTCCATGAATAAGCCATTAGCATAGAGAACAGAAAAGGATATTTTCAGCCTCCAAATTACTGGAAGGACAGTGTTATAGGGTGGGCTTCTATCAGCTAGCAAGCCAATCTTAAGAGAAATTGTACCTCAGGTCTTTCAGTAGCATAAATTGAACTTTTTCTATGTGACTAGGGATCAGTTGTGTAACAAATGATTATGTAAAGATCTTATAGGATTCTATAAGGATCCTATAAGACTCATAAAAGTTCTACTCCAAAGGCACATGAAAACCCTTAATAGGAAGTTCAAGTGGTCTTTCTCCTGAGTAAGCTCATCCCATTTCAACAGACATTAGGTATTTTAAATGGCCACTATCACTCAGTAACCCTCACACCCGCAGTGGCAAAAGTCAATGATATTTTTGCTCTGGACATACTCCATATTCTTTGGAATCTGCTCTGTTAGATAACATGGTTCATCTGTTAAACTGGACAGTCCCAAACATTCCCTGTGTTTAAACATCAATGTACACTGCACACAAGCAAGGCAAGAAGCCTTTTTTTTTTTTTTAAGTTTTTCACATGGTCAAAACCGAATGCTATTCTAATGTCCCCAAACTGGCCTCTGAGCATTTCTCTTCTTTGATTATTTTAACTTGTGTGGCGTCAGCCTGCCTTTAATTAGTGACATCTGTCTGTGGAATTCATTGAGAGAAACCTTCCAAGTTTGAAAAAATCTTCCTACCCTTTTACTTCAATAATAATCACAAATGCTAAAAACAAAAACGGAGGATTTTTTTCTAGGACTCTGAGTCCCAAAGATCAGATTAACCTAATAAACTAAACTAAACTAAACTAATAAAATATGGATGAGATGGCCTTTGATACATATTAGAAAGTACAGAGTTGTTATAGTGTTGGGGGAAGTTACATTGCAGTTTTAAGTGTGCTGCTATTTTCCTAACTCAGGGAAACTTAAGCTTTAGCTTACGTCTCACAGAGATTTGGCTGTTTGTTTTTTTGTTTGTTTTGTTTTCCCAGGCACAACAATCACTTCTTGCAATTAATGACATGTCCACACTTTTGGGTTCATGTTCAAGCCAGCTCTGCTATGAAGGCTGTTTTGCTCTCATAAAAATGAGCCTGAGTTTCTCGGATTACACAAATATTTTTCTTCCCCAAGGCAGAGTATCTTCTTGCCTATCGGCACAGGGGAAAGGTAAAGATGTCTTTAAAAATCAAGAGTAAGACATACTTGGCATCTGCAAATTTACAGTCAGTTTTAACTATTCATGTGCAGTTTCTTAGAGCACATGTTATGTAGGTGTTAACCATCTTTCTAAAACATAAACTCAAATCTCCCAGCAATACTGTCAGTGAGGGTCGAGGAAAGCAGTAAGTCCAGAACTGTGTCACTGGCACACAGTTACATGATCCCTCTCATTGTCAGTTACCAAGTACAAAATGGTTCTGATAATAAATGAGATGAAAAAGCGAAGCCCTCCATAAACATGACAGTTTGGGTCAGAATAAAAAGGTTTCATGAGGGAAATTATTTACTCTAGTGCTCTTTTCCAATTAGGGTAGTCATAAAGGTCTCAGGAAATATCCATCATGAATGTCAAATGTCTGCCACCATCCATAAGCAGGAAGATGACAAACAACTTACATAAAATGCCAGACTTACTCATTTCAAAGACCTCCAGAGAATAAATTCTCTCAAACCATGTATGCCATCATGCAACACCAGATAGACTCCTAGCTTTCCTTGACATTATTCCATCATGAATTATGGACAAAAATAGAGGTTTATTAATATCAAAATGGGCTTCCATTTTTATGAACTTTAACATACTTAAATGGAAACAATAACTCTGGGTATTTGAATTGCAAAATGAGTAGCAACAAGGCCTATTTACAAATACACTGCCTCCTACATCTAAGATACATTAAGATACACACATATATACATATTGGGTATTTATACAATAAAGAATTTCTAAAGGATGTCATTCCCACTTATTAATTCAATGATCAAAGCAAACTACTTGTTCTTGACTTTCCATGGCTGCTAATTAAGTTGCTTTTAAAAAGAGAAGGGAAAAGTTTTCAGGCTCAAATAGATTTGGGTACCTAAATTAAACATAATCAAAGAAATTTCTTTCCTTAAAGACATGATAGACTCCTTACTGTGCATTAATATTTTAAAACAAGGAAGTATAGTACATCTTGCTCAACCATGGAATTCAGTATCTCAGTGTGAGACTAGTTTTCCACAGATCAGTCGTAGGAGGCTCACATAAAATTGCCTTTTATGACTAGGAAATGCCTGGACCTGAAGGAGGTGAGTGCTGCTCCATGGCCAGTACTGCACCTGGATCGTGCCTTTCATTAGATTGTGGCCTTTTGCTTCAGGCCACAGCCAAATGCCTGGCCCACTGCTTGGCTCAGTCACAACGTTAGCCTTCATTACATGAAGATGAGTGTCCCACAATCATACAAATGAGTGCCCAGTAAATAGGACAGCAGCCTGAAATGGGTGCCAGGAACTGGTTTTCTAGGTTGATTCATACACTAACCATGTGGGCAAATCGTTGAGGCTAAATCTCATTTTTCATCAACCAAAAGGACATATGAGCTTTTGCTCCAGAGTTTTTATGAGCTCTCAGGTAATAAAAGAGGATGTGCTCTGGCAATTATGAAGTCTTCTACATCTCAAGAGGAAGCATCATTGCTGTTATTCAGTGACAACTCCTTCTGGAGATTCTGGGTGCCCTCAGAGACATTTCCTATCCTGTTTTTTGTTATATTCCCCCAGAGAATGCTAGAAATGTCCACCTGGGAAAGGACATCGTAGAGCCCAAAACTTCTCCCCAAAAGATCAGATGCCTTGTGAAGATATAGTTGTTAGCCATGACTTATGCTGTAACAGAGTAACTCAGGCTCCCCCAAATGGATTCATCATCTGAAATGTTAGCTATGGTGTTCAGAAGGCAGTGCTGGAGATGTGGCTAAGAGGATTCCCATTAAAGTCAGTTCTGGGTGTAATCATTTATTAATTGAGTCACTTAGCTTCTCTGCATTGGTAAAAGTAAGACAATATGCTAACTTCACTCACATAGGATATGTACACATAGGATAGAGTACATGTCCCTCAAACATCTTTAGTATATAGGTACACGTGTGGCACTATTAATACACACATTACAATGGCTTCAAGTCGACTCACATTATTTAGGACATTTCTGTTATTTTCCTCAGATCATCTCACACCCTCTTCAAGCCCTTCAGAAGCTAAACTTATTTTATGATTTTTTTTAAAAAGGGAAAGCTCCTTTTCCTGAATCATACCAAACCTTAGTAGCAGCTCTATTTTTATTCCACACCTGAGGTCTATCTCTTTTCTTCCCCCTCCCTCCGCCCATCTCTCTGTCCTCTTCTCTCTTCTCCTCTCTTCGCTTCCCTTCCCTTCTCTTCTCTTCTTTTCTCTCTCTCTCTCTCTCTCTCTCTCTCTCTCTCTCTCTCTCTCTCTCTCTCTGTCTCTCTCTGTCTCTCTCTCTCTCTCTCTCTCTCTCTCTCTCTCTCTCTCTGTCCCCAGGGATCATGCCTCTTCTCTCACAACATATTAGCTCTAAATAAATGCTTACAAGATTTCCAGCCCCACCAACTGTGGATAAAAGGAGAGAACTCCGCCCATCTGGACTCAAAATTAGGCTCAGCTGGTCCCAGTCTGTACCCACAGAGGAACCTGGTAGGGTAGCCCATGCTGACGCAGCTCCTGATGCTGTAAGGGAACACACATTCCCTCCTTCCTCTCCTCTTTATTTCTTCTTCATCTCTGGATGTATAGGAATATTTTCCCATCTTTTCCCCAGATCATCTCTTTATCATTAATTCCTCCAGTCTACCTTAATGAGAATCAGATGAATCTCTTATTAACTACAAGATAACTTCATGGGCATCACTCTGTAGGTTCAGTTTCCAAAAGTGAGTACAACAAGGAGACCCAGAATGTCCTGTCTTCCATGATAGAAGCCTTAACTCCACCTATAAATAGGATGAAGCTTCTTTGGCCATAACTAAGCAAAGGTTCATTACTAGGGGAAAAAAGAAGAATGAAAATACATGAATATCTTTTGCAAAATATATTATTCCCATACTGAAAATATGTTAGCTACAAGGCAGTATGATAATATCACCAAGGATGGTTACTTCCATTTGACAAATCATTTACTTATTTATTTTTAAAATTTTTTATTAGTACATGTTTGTGATGGATAATGCATACATTTATTATGGGGAAATTATACATACACCTATTGGACTTTAATGTGAAAAATCATTTTAGCCATCACCAATGAGCTCTGCAAATACTGCACTCAACCAGCTAGAAAAGCCAAAGAGAATAAGACAGAGTCATTCCCCAAACAAGCTAGGTCTAGTGAGGAAGGTGAGGAAGGCATCTTGACTGTAACAGCAGCAATGTCAGCACAGCGAAAGCTGTCCCTTAAATACTTCACTAGCTGAGCAAAGTCCAATTCACAGCTCTGAGTTCTTTCAAACTTCTTTCTAGTTCTAGCATCTTGGGATGCAATGTGACTTGGGGGACACTGATAATGATACTAGACATCTTTCTTTACAACTATGATATTCCTACTCTCCTCAAGAAATAGCTCCCAGTCAAACATGGTGGTGCACGCCTATAATCCTAGCAATCAGGGAGCCTGAGATTCGAGGATTTCAAATTCAAGGACAGCGTGGGAAACTTAGTGGTTTAGTTAGACACTGTCTCAAAAATGTAAAAAGAGCT